AGCACCCTATACGCACCACAATAATTTTGAAAAATATGATGCTGGAACTAATTAACGATTTTAAATATTTTGACAACATAGCGTTCATCCCAGAAATGGATCATAAATACAAAAAAATATATGCGAAAAATTCGGCGAACTCTTAATGATAAAACACGTAGAGATATTCTAATAAGGATATATAAAGTAATGGCTCTCCCGTTGTTCGAAGTGAATGCTGGACTCTGAGGGAAAAAGATGAATAGGCGTTCTTGTCTACTGAAATGAAATTAGTGAGATGTAAACAAATGTAGCAGACTAGATAATCTAAGAAATGAGGAAATTCGAAAAGAATTAAACGTTCAAGCAATCAATGGCAAGGTACAATGTTACAGACAGGAATGGTTACAACATGTAGAAAGAATGGAAGAGACTCGCATTCCACAGCAGGTGTTTAAGTATAGGCCTCAAGGCAGAAGAGATCCAGGTAGAACCCTGAAGAAATGGAATTCTTAGAAGCCTGAACAGGTCATAGACCTATACTTGAAGTGGAGGAGAAGAAGACGAGATAGAAGAAATATTGTAATGACTCGCCCAATTCGTTCAGACTAGCCCAGCTCAAGAAGAGAAAAAACTTAGTACCGTACTCAAGCTATGCTTCGTGTATGTAAATTTATTGAAGGGTCTAACAAGAATGTCACTTTAGACAATTGTTCTGCAGAAGTTATTGATGAACTGATGAATAGAAAATTAACTTACGATGGAACAGTGAAAAAAAGGACAAAAAATTAATTCTGAGGAATTTCTTGCTAACTCACAAATATAAGATGGAGCAATGCTCTATGGATTTAGAGGACCAACTACACTTATTAACTTTGTACTTAAAAAGAACAGAGCCGTCATATTGTCATCAACTACACCATAGCATTGAATACAATGAAAAGAAAAGGAAGTCCGAGATTACATGCTTTTACAATAAAACAAAATTTGGAGTTAACTTCTTAGATATGATATGTGCTGTTTCCACATCCAGTAGAAAAACTAGGGGATGGCCCCTTTCTATATTTTACAAGATGCAAGCGTAAACTCATTTACAAGTATAATGTTTCAGTGTAAAGACTTAGAAAGATTCAACAATTATGACAAAATATGAGTACGTCAAGCAATTGGGACTGATTCTCATCTCCCAAAGAGACTTGCAGATACATTGAACCTCCCACGGGGCTTGAAATGAAGTATACAGCTTCAGCAGAAGTCTATGCTCAGCAACAGACAGAACAACTGCGGGGGCGATCGCGGTAACGTCAACCACTGGTCAAAGAAGAAGATGAAGAGCAGCAACAAGTTCCAAGTGACGGAATGGCCAAGAGAAAAACTTGCGCAACATGTTCCTACGAAAAAATACGGCATACATATGCATAAACTGCATAAAAGCAGTTTACTTAGAATGCAGAAGGAAACTTTGCATTTGCTGTGCAAAAAACAATAGAGATTAAAAGAAACCCTCTTGTATTTTTAACTCACATTTTCCTTCTACTATTTCAGTGTTTTTCAAAATGAGTGCAATGCTTTTCAAAACGTTTCCAATGCTTTTCAAAACGTTTCCAATGCTTTTAAAAACGTTTCCAATGCTTTTCAAAACGTTTCCAATGCTTTTCAAAACGTTTCCAATGCTTTTCAAAACGTTTGCAATGCTTTTCAAAACGTTTCCAATGCTTTTCAAAACGATTGCAAAATGTTTTCAAAATTTTAAATGTGTTTCAAAATCGATTCTGTAAATTCGACGATATAAGTCCCAAATGTTAACGGAACCTCCATGCTTGACTGCAGGAAGCAGGCAGGGCGTCTAGACACAAATCACGTAGGAGTGCTTTGATGTTCTCCTTTGTACATCACCATGGCCGTTTGTAGAAAATAATGTACACAATGATCGATTCATTCGACAACATCGCATTCTTAGACTCATTAAGTGTCCAGTTTTATGATCGTGGCATCACTTCTTTCGCAGTTTTTCGTTGGCTTCTGCCGCGATGCTTTCGCATTTGCAGCCTTCTATGAATGTTACCTTTTTCAAGCTTCCGCTTTTGTAATAACGGAATTACTAAAGTGAGTTCTGCAGTAACTTTAGCCGCGATGTTTTACGTTGTCTAGCCACAATCCGTTTTAATGTTCGTCTGACTCGGAAAGTTACTTCGGCTTTCGCCCACTATTCCTCTTTGCTGTTGATGTTTTACCATGTTTTCTGTCGTATGCACTGTCACTACTGAAGCCGTTCGGACTAGCTCTAATATATAATTAATTTATAAAAAAATATGGAATACTATCTGTATACACAACAAAGCCCTACGCTCAGCATTCAACTGCTTTATAATTAATACACAATAAAAAATCCATACGCCTTGGAACTAATCCGCATTTCCGTAATATTTTTTCCAATATAAACTAATCCGCCCGTTTCAATAAAAATTTGTTTGAGAGTGTGAATTCGCGAAACCCCGAATTCGTGAATACGGGAAACGGGATGTCATCATCGATGTGAGAGTTGATATCACAAGTTTGCTCCTACCTTGCTCACAAATGAAATAAAACACCAAATTTTTGAAATTGACTGTTGCCGCCACAAATACAAGTACAACTCCGTTTATTGAAGAATCAAAGTAGCTCCTTGGCTTTACTCTCGCTTCCACTTACACATAGGATATTCAAAAAAGAACATTAACATATTATATAACAACTATTTAAATATTATATCTTGCCCTTGAACACAATAATACAATATATTCATAAGTGCGAAAAGGACTCATACTTGCATGAGAAAACTCATACACAATGGCGTTCATTCCTTTTCCCCTTTTTATATGTCCATTTACTTCTAAAATCTAACATTTTCCTATCTGCAAAACATTCTTGACTTTCTCATATTATTAAGTCGAAATAAAAAAAAAATTAAGGGTTCACTTTCCTTGATTCCCTCGATCGCTAGTGATTCATCCAGAAAATCAGCACATGCCTCGCCGCCCTAAATACCACGTTTTCATTTTAAAATCCATTTCACGTTCGTACTACTACTTCCACTTATTCAAAACAACACTTTGCCTTTATCAACGGCTACCCTCTGCCGTCCGGCACACACCAATCCTAAAACTAGTCTGCCTTCCCGTTTCCGTGTCTTTCCTATAGTTCAAGAAACAGTGGTCATCTCCATCGTTCGCCATTCCCTTCTTTGGGATGTAATTGGGTTTTTTAAAAAAATGTCGCTTAAACTCAATCCCGCTCCCTTCCATAATTAAATTAAATATTCTTATTTAATATAATATAAAGAAATATATATAAGAAAATTATAAATATTCTTTTTGTCTATATTTTATTACCTTTTTAGGCTTTTTACTTTTGTCAGGATTTTAATGTATAATGTTCGCTTGTATTAAGAAAAATATGATTCCTTTTTTAAAAAAAAAGACAAAAACGAATGTTCCTGTGAATCTCCGCCACCCTAAAATTCCTCTTTCTTTCGTTACTTATTTCGGTCTGTCTGTTGTTCCAGAGTTTCTCAGCTCCGACGTAATAAATAAATCATCATTACTCATTCAAATTACATCATTTGTTTCTGTAAGCATGTTGCTTTTGGATCTATTAAAATAGGTTGAAATTAGTGTTTTTGACGAGTCCATCTGGATCGTCTATATTCCATAATACTCTAATATTACTACCGTGGACACTTTCGCTCATGAATTGTTAACAGTTTAGCTATTTTCATCAGAGATGTTCCCGCTAACCACACGCTAACAATTTTCCCTCTTTCGAAGTTTGATCACATATTTCACCGATCGCTTGTATTGATCGTCATACACGAAACTTGCAATCTAACTTTCCAAACGTGGCACGTCGACCCCACATACAATGAAGTCGCGCCGCAGAGTTTACACGTCCAGACACCTGCACGTTATATATAACAGTATATATTGCATGGTATTTATATTATTTTGTCCAACTCCTGCAAATTGTTCATTTGTAATTTTTCATGAAGAGTTGTTCAATAACAATATGTACTTAGCTTGCCGAAATAATGAAAATCATGTTGGAGGAAATAGTGTATGTTGTGGAGAGGTACGTGGAAACATTGGGTGGTAAAACATTACTACAGTGGATTCTTAAATGTAATAGGAGTCATTTTTCTAAGCAAAATTTACTCTATTTGGACAAGAAATTTATATAAATACTTTTGGAGTCATTGTTGAGAAAAGTTTGAAAATATCTCAGGAACGTTTCATTAAATATCGTACATCACTACTCTCAATCTCTCCAAGCAAAATATCCTTCAGTAGGCTATGAAAAAAATATGGCCCACCAAATACCAAATTTAGTATGTCACAATATAACTATTTCACTTTATAACGTATTTGTAATTAATTTCAAGTTAAAAAACTTGCAAACAGTTTGCGACGTATGTGGAGAATTGAAGTTTTCTCGAATGATGGTATACACTTAACTAATTTATTACGGTACACTATTTATTATAACAGAGGGTTATAAGTTATAATTGTTAATAATTATTGTTAATATCTACACAAACGTTTCTATAAATAATGTACAACACATACCATATCGCATGTAAAACGTATCAATAAATTAAAGTTTTGGATTATTGCTGATTTATACTGGTATTTAAAAATCTTGGCATTTTTCCACAAAAAGAAATTTGCACTTTCTTCAATCACAAAAGTTAAGAAAAGAATGTCAATAAAGAAGGCAAAATTAGTATTGGACAAATAAGTATATGCGTGTATTATACTTGGTGGTATACAAATTAAAGTCACTACCTTCTTTGATGACTACCTACGATTCTATGAAAGGTCTAACACAAATGTTCCCTCAAATCCCCCATGTCAAATATAAATGCTTATTATTTATTACTATTGAAATAAAAAAAAATATTCAAAATAAGTACATCAAAAACTGCTACCGTAGAAATCAGATTGCCACATATTTTGTTTACATTTCGTACTTCTGTTTGCTTACAGCCGATTATGTCAGCCCATGCAGCATCAAAGCTTCGGACCGGAAAATCAGCCAATGTGCTCTGGAGCACGCACGACTTGTCATGCCCAAAGTAATGAAAGGTAAGTAATGTATTAGTTCCTCGAATCAGGTTCCTTCATCAGGCTCTTAAAAATCTCGGAGTATTCAATTTCTATAATTATAATCTGAATTTTCGTAAAGAGAATGGCTTGTATAAATTGAAGCACTAATTTTTCTAAAGAAATTTCCGCCGTCCTAAAAATGGTAGAAATAGTTGCTTTTGAGGAGGAAATGGACCCGTGAGTAAATAATCCTAGTCCTGCCCATCGGAGAGCGTTGGTGGGTGACAACTTTCAAATATTCAAAGAAAACACCCATTTTGAGTTCAGATTCATCATAAAAAATATCCTTCCAAATCGCTTGTTAAAATATTTTCCCAACGGGAGCAAAAGTTGAGTTTTAGAGAAGCTGAAGTGACCTGGCAAAGTGGATCAGTCCACCACCTGACGGGGAAGGCAGAGGGGGCTCACGTGAGTGACTTAATATTAAAAATAATAATTATTTCTTATCGTAAGTAATACCACGAGGGCTTTGGAAATTGTTGATAAATCTTCGACTTGCGAAGCGAGGAGGTAATTTATCTCAGAATTTTCAAAGCACGAAAGGTATTTAATATTACTCAACGAATAATGTTAAGTACAATACAGTTTCAAAATTTTCCAAATATTGAAAATAACAAAGTTTTCTTAAAATCAAAGAGGTTACGAAGTACTAATACATTAAGGTTTTTTGGACATAGGCATGTTGTATACCGTCTCCTAAGTCAGTTTATGATGAGCCAGGTAAGGACGTCCGTAGACTCTTTAAAGAGAGGCATGCGTGATAGGGCTTATTTTCGTTCGTTTTGGTACGGCATTGAAACACGCGGTTTTTGCAAAGGTGGGTTTAATATTGCCTTTCCGTGAGGTGAAGCTTCCCGTCATAATTACTCCTTAAAACTAGCTTATAACTCAACCTTTTAAATTCGGCCATACGGGGCAGAGTTCATCCTTCGAAGCAGGGCGGCGCCCCTCCCGGTGGTGGCAACCCTCGTTACGGGAGCGGCGGGCCTTCGCCCTGGTAAATGGCGCGGCAGGCCCTTGGCGCGGTTTCCTACACCCTCGCAGGTAGCAAAAGATGCACATTTCCTGGTCCTCTTACATTTGAAATACAGTTGAAATACGCATACACAATCTGACGCGTGCGACCGCCCAATTACAATACATATTCAGACCTCCCCCTGCAGTTAACTACATAAGGCCCACTCAGATAGGACGGAGGGGGCGATAGCGGCACGAGATCAACCAGATGGTAGCCGCGCTGACGAAGAAGGAAAACGGCGACGCGGGGCGTATCTGAGCTAGTATCATATAGTTATGAACAGTCACACACTATGACCATTTTACTTCTCGGAGACCATTAATCAAGGGCGGTCCCCAGAATGAGTTGCAGTATAATTGAATGAAAAATGTATTATTTAAGAATTAGTGCTACATGTGTATAAGTTTTAATTCTCTTACAATTTACCGGCCCAGAGATGCTACTAGAAAGTGCGTTTTATATATCACTATTATAGCAATGCCAATCCGGTGGCCGAGATCGCTAAGGTAGTAATGCCGTAGCGATCTCGTACCGAAAGATCGCGGGTTCGAGTCCCGCCTCGGGCATGGTTGTATTGTGTTCGTCCTTTCACCCCCTATCATCATCATCATCATCATCATATCAGGGAAGGCAACGGGAAACCACCCTGAATAATTTATCCCAAGAAAACCCGTTATGGGTCACCAAACTTCCGTATATGGAAGATAGGACCAAAGAAGAAGATTAGACCAATGGTGTAGTGGCTTTGGGTAGTTAATTATGGATATAGTTTACAAATAAAATTAAGCAAACATTTTAAATTAAAGATTAATTTGTTAAAATCACAATATAGCATCCGTTCTATGTATCGTTCTGGAACAAGTTTTATGTACTTGTTAATATGTGGTTTCAGGCGATCCCAAGTACAATATACCCATCTTGGATCCGTTACACGTGGACCGAATGGAGGTCATTAATGGCGATGGACCGTTGGGACTGCAACTCATCACAACAGACCTTAAAATATATGGTCTACCCGACATGATTATCAACAGCGTAACGTAACTATAACTCTTTGGCAACTTGGTGATAGTGAATTGATCCTTATCAAAGCTTAATAGAAACATCAATGAAAGAAGCACTTCTGATTTTTACAACAAAATCTGTAACTGTAATAATGTATCTCTAAATCTGCCGTATTTTCAGTACTTAAACTCTTTCTGACAAAATATAGAGAAATTAATATAATTAAAATGTGTCAATGTATGCATACGAATCGGCCTGCTTCTCTATGCATTTATATTCTTATAGGAAAACCTTCAATATTAATATCATTTTTAACATTGAATATTGTAGAAAAGGAAATGGATATTCTAAAACCACATCCTTGCACCAAAAAAATTATCAAGTACCATAATAATACAATATTATTACAATATAAAAATATGCGCAAAACGATCATTTTTCAGAGATTATGTTTTGAATTACAATCTATTTCTGTGGAGTAGGATATTAGTTTTTCCCCATTGCTATTCCTAATTGCATAAGTTTTAAATAATTTGTTTTCGTTAATTAACACTATTTTTCAGGCATGTCGCTAAGCCATTGGGGGTGACGTACGTGACTACAACACCAGAAATCACAGTCAATGGAAAATACAACATAACTGGAAGAATTTTGCTGTTGAATATTTACGGCAAAGGAAATGTCGTCATGAAGTTAAGTAAGTGAACAAAATACAGGCGGTAATTGTAGTTAAGCTGCAATCCATGCGATGCGTCTTTTCGGGATAAAATTGCTATGAAGCTGAAAGACGCACGTGCAATTGACGCGCATGCAGTGCCGTGTTAACGCATTGGTCCTAAGGGCCCCGGCCCATGGCCCCCAATGTTCAATGTTCAAATGTTAAAAACATATAAAAAAAGGATGAATGATTAAGGAAAACATTGGCTTAACGAGTAATATGTCGCGCACAATTGGATAACATTTATAATATGGAATGTTGCTAGTTGATGCGTTTCAATTTTATGATGTACATTTTAATGCAAAAATGAACAATTTACTGTGTAGTCTTTTTCAATGTAATTAAAACACGGTTAATCTTACTTACTCAGACATATGTTTAAAGTTTTTGTTTGAATAATTCAATTCAATTTCATTTTATTAGTAATTTTACTTACTGGATTGGCCTATAACAAACACAGTAGATCACACAAATACAAATAATACGGTATACACAACCAATACAAACAATACAACAACGCAATAAAAAATAATTCAATAGCGTAAGATACAAAATAATTGAGACAACAGAACATACAAATACAAGAAGAAATTCAAAAAGAAAAAATTAACACAGAAATATAAAAGCCCCCAATTTATACAATTCGGCGGTTTTTATTAATTTCTGAATTAATTTTTCTTTCTGAACAAATATACTGATTTCTTTTGAAAATAATAAACAATTTACGTGTTTTTCGACTGTTTCTGGACTTCTGCAATGCAATTTTTTCCTAGAAAGCATTTTTTCAAATCAACATTGTAGTGCTTATTGTGGCTGAACCACTTGGAATAAAATGAAATAATTATATGAGTTCTCATTGCCAACAATCTTGTTTATTACAATAGCAGCTTTCGATTGCTTAGCCAGCATCAGTTTTCTGCTGTATGGAAGCCACAAAATCGACTACGAGGTAGTAAGTAGGTACGAAAGCTGCTACTGTAATAAACAATATTGTTGGCAATGACGACTAATATAATTATTTCATTGTAAATGCCAACAAAAACTCACCACAAGCCCAATACACTAGAAATAACCCAGTAGTTTATGAGACAAAATGTGCCTAAAGTTGTCTTGGGAGCTTATTTGTGAAGTTTTGACGTTTCCTCCCCGGACATCCTGTACACACAAGTTCACAGAGTTATATGATCCTTTATTACATGTTGGTTGAAAACCCTGATTGTTTATAAATTGAAAAAAGGTTCAAAATTTATTCGTCGTATAAATTGAACATGGAGATGCATTTTTTCTTCATGAAATGTGTTAATCAGAAACAGTGCTTCAAATATATCATGTTGAATTTTATGAAAATATAAGTATTTTTTTAAAATGTAAGATCATCTGGGTTTCATTGATCTTCAGAAGGCGTATGACAATGTACCGATTGCTAGAGTATGGGAAGAAATGGATGGACTTAAAATCAGTGAAAACGTAACTGGAGCCACACACAATCTATACTCGTATAAGAACAACACATCTCAGATTAAGATCTACAGCAGGCTTTCGGATCCATTCCCAGTCAGTAAAGGTCTTTGTCAAGGTTGCTGTCTTCCCCCAACACTGTTTAAAATATATCTGTATCAAATCTTACAGCACTGAGAAAAACAATGCAGAATAATGGAAATGACGATCGGAGAGGATAAATTGTACACATTATATTTTGTCGACGACCAGGTAGTAATTGCAGAAGATGCGGACGAGTTGAGTTCCATGATCCCTAAACTCAATGAACACTATTTAAAAAAAAGGACTTATTATTAACATGGACAAATCTGAATACCTGGCAGTTGGTAACAATGAGATAGAAGACTTTTTTGGGAAAATTGAGGAAAAATGAAAGGATTAAACAAATACAAATATTTGGTTGTACTTTTTAACAATAAGGGAAATAGCCAAGAAGAAATTAAGAGACTAATAAGCTTTGGGAGAAACAAGACATGAAGATGAAGTATAAACTCTGTGTTATAGAGCAAAACCATCACTAACACTACTAAAAGACGTCTTTACTCCACACTAGTTAAGAGTGTTACAACGTACGGTTCAGAAATTTGGGTGGTTGATAAAAGAAAAAACGGAAAGCTGCTGGCTCTTGAAATTGAGTTTTGGCGTAGAAGTTGCTTTTATAGCAGACGCGACAGAATCAGGAACGACGACATAAGAAAGAAAATAGATGTAAAGAAATTTATCCTTGACGAAATAGAGAAAAAACAAATCGTCTGGTACGGTCATGTTACGCGAGTGACGAAAGATGGCCAAAACGAGTCCTGCAACTGGTGCCGACAGAAAGACAGAAGAGAGCGGAAGTGCGGAAGACCCGGGGAATGATTCCCCCTTTCAACCTGTTAAGATTTGGTCTCGGCTCAATTTTTCGTACATCGCGTATTTTTTTAGTTATTTCAAGTTGTCAAGATATTGGTCAAATGGCTATTTGGGGAAGGTTTTTCAAAATTAAATTGTTACGTTTATCATGTCTAGGGGATTTCTCGACAGGTAGTGATTTGATTATTTTATTTCTTTCTTTAAGTGATGTGTGGTGTATTCGTATTTTATGATGGAGGCCATAAGTCTGTTCGTTTACTGCTTGGTTGATGGTGAAATGAGTAGGGTGCGGTTTAGTATTATTCAGGGCGAATGTGGATGTAAAGTAATTAACTAGCTTTTCGGCTTTCTGAGCAGGCGTGTACATTTTTCCTGTGGAGGTGTCAATTGGTGAATGGTGTTCTTTTTTCTTAATTTTTTTTTGTGAAATGGCAAATGGATTTGTTGTTAGTGTTTAGTGATTGGATTAGTGTTTGGAAATGCTGATTATTGAAGATTTTGATTGATTTGCGCTCTATGTTTATTAGTATGTTAAGTTTTAATTTTAGCCCTGGTATTCTTAGTTGTGCCCATAGTCTGCGGGTTTTGATTTTGATTTGTATTAGATTTACTGTTTTTGGCGGAAGTTCATATTGTTTATCGTTGTTGGTATTCTTTGCTTTTAATTCGGTCTCTCTAATTGTGGTAAGTATTATGGTGGTTAGTTTGTTGATTGATTGCTCTATTTCTAGTGGGTTGAAGTGAATTTTAAATTTAGGTATTGTTGATCTAGTTTAATTTTACATTTTTTTCCAAACAACTTTTCACGTATTTGGATTTGGTACTCAGATATTTGATGTGTGCTTATTAAGACCGGAATGTGATTCGAGTCTAATTAGAACAATGTAGTACGGTAATAATGTAATAGTGTAGTTTAATTTTATCGTTAGTAATTCCGATATCGAGAATATCGGGATTTCTTAAGCGATCATATGGGTAATATGATGAGGGGCCTGGAGGTGAAATTAATTTGAGTAATGCGATTTCGTATTTGAGCTAACATTTTCTCATTAGTGTTGGTGTTCGAAAACCCCCCAGTTTGTATTTTTGGCAGTCAGGTCCCCTAGAAGTCTTGTGTTATTTACTTGAAACAGTTTACTAAAATTATGGAGGTCTAGTTTATGATTCAGAGGCTTGTATACTGCAATTATAGTTCACATTTCATTTTTCATTTCTAATTTAATGGCAACAGCTTCTATATTAGGACTACAAGGTAGAATTATTGGATAATGTTGTATATTTTGGTTTTTGGTATTAGCATTCTCCTCCTTTGTTTAGATTTCTGTCGACTCTAAATTGATTATTGCATTAATTATTGTATTTTTAATGGGATAGTCGTGGTGTGGTTCTTCAGGAAGATCGGTTAAATTTGAATTATTGATAGGATTTGGGCGGGCCTGTGTTGTGGTACTATTAATATGGGTGAAGTTGTTAAGAATTGGTGTTTGGGGAAGAAGAGGGTAATGGGTGTAGGTTGTAATGGTGTGGGTTGGTGGGATTATATTTTATTTCTGTTTTGGAGGTTATTTTGGTTGCCAGTTTTTCTTTTTTTAATGTATTCTTTTAGGTAATGCAGCTGAAGTCTCGATTATTGGTCTCGTGACTGCCTTGGCAGTTGCAACACTTTGGTACTTGATTACCTTTAGGACAAGTTACTGAGTAGTGATTACCCGAACAAAAAGAGCAGCTAATTGAGTGATTGCAACTATTCTTTGCAGGGCCATAATCAAGACACCGCTGGTATTGTATGGGACCTTGGATTTTTTCCTTACTTCCGCATTTACTCTATGGTTTGCAAACTTGCTTAATGGCTAGAATATTATCTATTCAATCGTTTCCTGAAAAAATACCTGCAGATACTGGGATATGATTGTTTTCTTTGTGAAGTCCGGTGATTTTTATCAGTGAAGGAAAGCATTGTTTTAGGTCTTCGTATATTTCTTGGTCAGTAATGGATTTATTGTCGTTCGTGAACACTATAGATATAATTTTATTTAATGGGCCTCTAAAGGAAAGAATACTTCGATGATTGTTAGTTAAATACTTGATTAAATTTCGGAAGTCCGTGGGTGAGTTTGCACTTATTTTTATTTTAGTGTTTTCTATCTTCAATCGAGTTTGCGGTGACTAGATTTAAGTTCTTTGATGAATGCATTAATATTGGCGATGTTTGCTCTGATTGGAGGTATTTTATTGGGGGTTTCACTTTGATTACTAGAAAGGTCGTTGAAATGAGCGAATCTATCTTTGGTAGCTGGCTGGTTCTCACTGTTGTTAGGAACAAGCAAAGCAGCACTTACGACTTCATTGGTTGGAGGGTCATTCACTACAATGATTTGCACTGAGTCGCACTTCACCGGAATTGTTTCGATGAATTATTTATCTCTGGCACATGTGTGGTTCACTTCACTAGATAATAATTTAGTATTGTCGCGATGCGACGCGTAACTTCCGGAGAGGAACAAATTGTGACAGTATCAGGACTTAAATTGATAACATGAATTAATACAAATGACTTGAGGAAGGAAAGGGTCTGAAAATGGAAAGGATGGCTTTTCACAATACATTAACCAACGGATCACAAACCGCCCGTGATCGTCTCCCTCCTGCCCTCGCTTGAAGCAACAAATCACGCTCCAAGCATGCCAGACATTGACTGAGGTTTTTAGCGTGTGTCATGTTCCCTGCAATGCTTTTTATACCGTAAATAAGCATCTGACTGAAGTCCTTCTAGCATAAAGTGATAAAGGTGCCTAACAGGCTTAACTGGATTTCGCAATTTTCGTGGCTGAGACCCTTCTAGCATATGACGATTTAATTAGTGTCCTTTACATATATTATAGAAAATATACCTGAGAAAGAATCCAAAATAATAGAATTCGAAACTTTGTTTAATGTGTAAGTTGTTGTGTAAATTTTAAAACAATAAATAGTGTGTAAAAACTGGTTCCAATAATTATAAAAATTATTTCAATTACATTTTTAGAATCACTTTTAATTCTGCGTTGAGAATGAATTGTGATTGTATTGTTATATAATTTGTAAACATTCCTCATTTCATTAGTTTTGGAGATTTGGAAAAGTACTTAAAGACATGAAACAACTTTTTTGAGGCGGTCATTTTTCTTAAAGTGCATACATTTTTTTCTATATTTCTTTTTATGCGCTCTAAATCGCAAGGATTCAAGCACTTACTATTAAATCATGAAATACTCATTTATAAAGGACACAAATGTGTGGTTTACGTGAATACTAATGCATTGTCTTCGTCTTGTAATTTGCAGAGAATATGAAAATGATCTACCAATACGATGCCGAAATGCAGAAGCACAAAGACGGAGAGATCTATTTCGTGCCGCTGCCCGGCGAGCGCTTGGACATCGAAGTGGACGGCCTGTCGGTGCACCTGGACAACCTCTTCAACGGCGACAAAATCCTTTGTAGGTACTTTGTCCACTAGGTTCTGTAAAAAGCATTCATTTTCTAATGTTCGCTACAAAATAGAAAATTCATACTTCATTGTTTTCAGAAACATCTCAGAACAGTATTTGTATGGTGAAGAAGATCATTAATTACATTCACTGTGCAGTTCTGATAAACGTGTTTCAAAAACCAAGTTTTCTCTATCGGATGCATTTTGGTTTTACAGCATGCTAATATTTTAATATTACCGTGTCATAATTCACGCAGAAACATGAAATTCCACTATTATAGTTTTGCAAACTCTAGGGTAACACATTTATTACATTTCAATGACGTGTCATAAGTTCAATTACATTATACACTTTTAATTACGTGTCATCTGTTCCGTCTATTAGCTGAACCAACTGTCTGTCACCAACTCCCTGCACTACCATTAACACCAAATTTTAAATCTCGTGAATTGACTCGGGACAAGAAAGAAAAACTTAAAAGATTTGACATCATTGAAAAAATATTTGAGCCGCAAACACGACGTGCGCGCCTGCGGTATCATTTGGTCCCTCTGACTCTGCCACGCAATGTTTTTGCCCGAGATAAATCAAGTAATAGGGCATGAAACAGCCTAACAATGACAATTATATTACTAAATGTGGATTTCACACATTCATCTTTTCCATAATATTTTCTGCGAATAGGTCAACTGTCACTTTCATTGTGAAGAACATTCAGTTGATTTTCTAACTACATGATTACTCACATCATTTGGCCTAGATGCATCAGAAGGTATCAAGTAAGTCAAATCAAGTAAGATACCAATGCAGGTAGCATCCTTCACCAATATGTACTAGTACTGATGAATACTAGACCTGGGTTTACGCGGGAAATTCCTTTCATAAATATTTTCGCATTTCATCCCTCGCGGTTCCTCATTATTTTAAAAAAAAATCCAAGCAATTACATTTATTCATTTCGAGGGAGCAAACTATCTTATATTTGCCACGTAGCACTGAAAAACTACGGTAGTGTACTGTTCATTGTGTTTCCATCTCGCTTTCCGTATTATATGATACAAAAACTTATTTTAAGTATTACTTTAAACCTCACATTGTGTTTATATGACTGTATTCAGACACAAGAAGTAGGTTTTCTAAACTAGATTGTACGTACGTACATTTATTTATGATTCATTAATACAATTCGCGACTAAGATTTTTAATTGATTGCATTATTGTCATTAGAGATATATTAAAAGTTAAAAATTTTGTTTACATATTTTCACAGATCTGAATTACAATTCTGGCTGGTGAAATTCTATCTTCCCAACCGTCCAACACTCTTGGACACCCTTCGATCCACGGGAGGAGCGCGTTGACCAATCGCTGTCAGAGTCTTATGTGATTGGCGCAAAGTACCATGAGGCGGTAAAGATGTTGTTCCCGGAGACGGGAACCTCGATTGTTTACGTATGAGGCGGAAATATCGCCATATTTCCCTGTCGAAAGAGATTTTGCTTGCGCGGACGCCAAAACGAAAAAAAATATATCTAAGTGGGGGTTTTCCGTCCAGAATTTGTCCTCTTTTGATCTGGAAAGTTTTCAATTGTTTATAAATTTGCAAATGTTGCAACTTTTATTGCCTCCTCTAAATCCCCTTTAAACGAAATACAAAATTCCACAACCCGATCGGTGATATCAACTTCCGTTCGCGAAATATTTAATTGTTTATTAGAACGTAGCATCTCATTTTTTTGTACCCCACGTTTTTTGCACTCATTCCACTCTCACTCCGCACACAAGTATACTGAAAATAGAGGTTGGGAATGTCTCGCTTCGATTATTTGCTTCATACGTTTAATACCGAGGGTAACCGTGATATCGCGATCTCGGAAGCGCCTCGAAGCGAAAAACGTGTGATGGAGCGAAATGATTGCTTTTACAATTTCTTCGAAAAACCAACAAACAAGCTGCAACTTTTATTCGTAGTTTCATGAGATCATTGCAGTAACAATTTCTGAATCTTTAAAAAACTTCCAGATTTGCCATAAGACAAAGTTTCCTTTTTATTCTAAATAGTCATTAAAACTCCCGTTTCAATATTTTAATTCACTTAAGAGGTGTTATAAACAAATTATCTGGTAAATTTAATAACGCCGAGAGAAGCACTTTGAAGACGAATATGAACTGAAGCTATATTATTTATTTTTATCTTCTTTCATCAGTAGTACAACTTGCATTGATATATATTGGTTAGCAAGGAAACTGTTTATAAAGATATATTGCAAATTTCAGTATGCCGAAAGGCTGGCTCAAGAAGCAATAGTTGAGCTGTGGAAGGGTTCAGTATTCTGGAACTTTTCTGGTTCGCGTGACTTCGATAGGAAAATTAAACGAAGGTTCATTTACTGATAAATGTCAAAACAAATGGTCGATGAAACTAAACGCTTGCCGTAGTATTGTCATTGAATGAATGCCGGCCAAATCATCAATCGTTTCTCACTATAGAACCATGGAAATTTCAGATACATAGAGTACGCTTTGAGGTCGGGGTTAAGGGATATTTCTTTTAAAAATTGGGTATTTACGTATCTCAAACAAAGTGAGACGGAATTGCGATTTTACAAAATTCTGGTAAAAATTTCAAATGTTACTACCCCCTTATGATTGTATTGTTGTAGGGCGCGATATTAATAGTGCAAGCAAAACAAAAACACTTTAAAAAACTGTATTATATATTAAATTCGTCCCAAAACACGAAAGTGAATCTACCCTAAAGGCAGTGGTTTTCCATTTAAACATTTTAAATATCGACAAAACGTCTTATAACTCACCAATTTGCGGGTAATTAAATCGTCAATTCCATAAATGTAAATTAATAATGTGTTGGTGAAGCACGAACATTTACAAGATGCGATTAATTTATGTTCTCACCAGAGGAACCTTCTATGAAATTTGTGAATGCCACCAGCTGTCTATTTTCTGGAAATTAACATACATTCTTAAGAAACTTTGTGTGATTTACCACCAGCTCATCCATTTACTATATTCTTCGGCTGATTCACATGTCTTCTCAGTTTTTTCACAATTTAAATTTTTTTATAGTATAGAATTGATTTAATTTGTCTTCCTCACTTTAGAGAGGTACTAATTTGCTAGTGTATATCCAGATTGTTTATAAATAAATCATTGTTTTCTATTGGAAAGTAAATTCTACATGCTGTACTACCAAAAAACGCGATAGTCATTGGGATCTACAAACGTCTGTCACCTGAAACTTAAATAATTTAAAATGGATTAGAATAGATCTTTAACCAGGTTCACTTTCAATAATCTGATGTGTAATTATGGCACACATATTATATATTATAGTCTTCTTGCATTGGTTACCAAGACGTCCAATAGCAAGCTTAGTTCCTTTACTGATGAAGAACTGGGAATAATAGGGATGCTTTCAGCTACGGTATTCGCTTTGTACCGAGAGGAACACACATATTATTTACAATAAGAGACTCAAATCTAATATCACTGTTATCAATAACAGTAGAAAGATTACTAATGTATTCCTTAAAAGTCAAACGTTTGTAAGAATCAATCACTAACTGAAGCTGGTCCACCCCAAGTTTCATGCAAAAAAACTAGATGCTATCACTGAAGGGTATAGGCTCTAGAAATACTTATTTAATTATCCGAAACAAAATACATATTTTCTAAAATTGGCCTGAACCCGTTGCTACTACTGTATTATTATACTATGAGCCATTTTTCGAAGACGTTTGATGCGCTCAATTTACCATCAAGGTTTTTGGGAAACTAGTGCCTCTAACTTCATTCTCACCGCCACTCCCCGAGCGTCCTTCCTGTTGCGGAACACGAGAGTTCGTCGTCGCAATACCTTTCGACAACGGAAAATATTCAGGAGGCCCACTGAATCAAGCCTTCAAACTTATAAAGGGATCTTCTTTTCATGGATGAGAAGTCAACATTCTATTGACGATTGAGGACTGTACATATATTTATATTGAGGACTGTACATATATTTAATGTATTTTTTTATTAGATTCAATTACTAGAAATGACGTGGGATGCTTTTTATCCACGCGCGTAATAGAGCAATCAGTGAGGAGTTACGGCAGTACATCGAACTTTATACGAGCGATCATCGGCACGTTGTTTGCAAATTAATTTTTGCATTTCCTGAATGATAGAGAAGTCTATATAGAAAACTTTACATCGCATCACATTATTTCTTTCAACATATTGAAGCTCATATTCTATCAATATCATTTGTTTTGTGCTTTGATGTTGTGTGCGAGTTTTTGGGTATATCGATGAACTTTTGGAACATTCGTTGCCATTAACGCATTTTGCAGAAAATTGTCGAGAAAATAAAACCATCGCATATTATAAAATTTGTGAATATTATAAAGTACAAAATTAGTGTATTACGCTAAAACAAATAAACTAGTTTCATCAAATTATTCGCAGTAAATAACGAAGAACAATTATTACGCACACATTTTATATATATATGTGTATATATATTTCTTTATAAATAAGGGTTTTTGGGGACCAGAAAATACAGTGTATGAAAGAACATTATAACACTAATATCATTTTACAATATCACCTGTAATGAAACTTACGGTGGCCGCGAAACTTTCAGACACCTCCAAAACTACGTAATGAGCCCACTGCCAAATCTGCCAGTTTTATCTATCACTTACACTTTTACTATAATTTTTTATCGTACCTCGAGCAGACATCTCGACATCAAACATAAATAATAGGCAAGTGATCAGCATATGCGCTCTGTAAGTCTCAAAGAAGTCACGGGAGAACAATCGACAAAAGAAAGACCTCTCAACAAACAATGCACCATTACGAGTCTACTAGACGCAGTTCCGAGTCTATCTCAATAATAAAAACCTCTCTTACCACCATTAAATATTCTCGATACTCCAATACCCTGAACAGAAATATAAAGCGATTGGCTGTCCTTTTGACATAAAATCAACCTGGAAAGAACATATTATAAAAATAGAAAAATCTATAAAACAAAACTGACAAACTTCATGCGCTCAACAACAAAAAGTCTCTTTTGAAACAGAAACTGCCTTGTCAATGTTTAAATCAATTATAAGACCCTCAATGGCATATGCATGTGCGATTTGGAGAGGAGTCTCCAAATCATCATTTGAAAAGCTTCAAACAATCCAGAACAAGTTCCTTAGACTGGCAATCAAAGCTCCTTGGTACATTTCAAACGAAATACTTTTTAAACAACCTAAGCCAATGCCTAGAATCAATTATATCAAATACTAGAATTAATTATAAATTTCCTAAAGATCTATTCCTTTCCCCTTAATACAAGACTTAATACAAATCAGCTGGCATAAGAAAATTCACACCTCCCATCCACAATTCCAATCACCTTAATTGTACATAGAAATAATTGTAAGAGTCAGTGTAAATTATGTTACCTTTGTATTGTATTTTATAATCTATTTTTCCTTTGTTATTTAATTTGTTACGTTCATCTGAAAAAAGTATGTATAATGAGTTAAACATGACAACAAAATAATGAAAAGCAGCAACCAGCTGCTGATCTTATTGAAAAATAAATTTTAAAAAAAGTTCCGACCTTCAGCCTAGCACAATGTACATTGTACATTTGTCATGAGATCATCGATCGTCTCATGAAACCGATCCGCAAAAGGGATTTCTAACATGACTCAAAATCATTTGTTTTCTCTCACATTTCACTTTACGGTGTGCCTTCTTTCCCGATTTCAATGAAAGATACGACGGCAACGTGCTAATTGACCACTTTCTCAAATCTGTACGAAAGTACGAAAAATATTTTAAAAATTAGCATCGGTTACTTTAATTTGGGAAAAGAGATTTATAAGGCAAATACGATAATATACGGAAAATATGATACGATTTTATTTTAAAAACGACAATCTATGTTCTCAGATGAAATATCGAGCTGTAAAATAAGAAACCTTGTCAATATCTGTTTATTCTGTCTCGAACTGACATGCCAATGGAATTTCTTAGAAGTAATATGTATCTAAAATTCGATGGATTATTGGTGATATTTAAAGAAATTGTTCAGTTTAAAAAAAACAGTTTCACTACCTGCCCGCGAATTCTTTACAAGAATAAATTGACAAATGTTAACGTGGCAAACGGGCAAATACACATGAAATTATAAAGTTTACGTCCTTAACTAAATTAAGAGATTTCATTCATAAGATCGCTATAGAGGTAGATAATTGGTGGTGACTAACTAATAATTAAATATATAAAAGGTGTTGTCCGGTACCAAATATTTGATACTGGACATCTTTTATTTTTTTCATTTAAGAGATTGCAATCAAGAGATCATCCAGTTCTGCCTTTACATACCTCTAACAACTAACATTATTTTTCTTCGTTTTATCCCTTATCCCGTGTTTTGATATGACATTTTATTGCTTAATTAATTAAACATTTATTTACTATTCAATTTGTATAAATCTTTGCTATCCTAACCACCAGAACATTAAATGTAATGCTACAAAACTTATTTTATTGCTTTTCTTATGTATTATTTCTTTTATTTGCAGTGGAATCTACAAACAGATTTCTCAATGAAGAATGGGAAGAAGTCTTTGAATCACTGAAGCCTTCTTTTATTAAAGAAATTTCGGCTTTGATTAGAAATATCCTGAAAGGAATATTCGACCAAGTGCCCATGAGAAATGGATGGTTGGATTTCGACGAATTTACGAAGAACAAGGATAAGTTTCAGGTTGTTGATAAGTCTAATGAACCTTAAATTCCAGAAATGTTGTGTTATATTGTATTTTTCTTACAAGAGAGGTTGTACCATGTATACTGCCAATGTAAAATTGCAATTTTTTATTTACATTATTCTTTAAAATAGTACGTAATGAAATTCCGATATTTTGCAGATTTAAGGATAGCTTTATTATCAATTTAACATTTTTGTGTTAATTAATTATTTTTCTAATTTTACTTCTTGAACCCTTTTTCAGTATTTTGGTACAACTATTTTTTATGTTCTTTGTTATTAAAGAGTGTTTCTAAAAAATGTTAGTTCTTTACCAATATCAGTAATAATCTATCCTATTCATTTTATTTAATTGCAAATAATCGTTTCTGATAAAGTTCCATCAATTACAAAATAATTGCATTTTTGTCAAATTCCGTTGAAAGAGTTTGTAGTCGTCCAAACATTTCTGATGAAGATTCCCGCTTGAGGATGACTCCAGATACATTAAATGCAATTTATAACAGTATCACCAACAACCATACAATGAACAATCATTTTAACAGTACAATGTAAACCGCAACGAATTACGAAAAAGTCAGTCATAATTGGCTGGGCATCGCCTGAACGTACTACGACATTTGAGAATTACACATACATTTTGTAATTTTTATTGAAATATATTACATAACTAATATTGCGGTACCTGACTGAATGTACGCGTAAGTTTTATTCAGACGTAGCAACGTCAATGAAGGTCCCTGAGTCATAGGTACTTTTCAGGAAGCATAAACCGTTTGTTTCAATAAACATGTATTGCAAATGAAAATAAAGCATACAGCAATTAAGTAAATTCATTCTTTCATTGAAGAATTACACTTATTACTACAGAAATTATATCTTATCTAATAAAATATTTAATACAGACTATTATAGCTATCAAATAATTCAAACAGATATATGAAGTACTTTTTTTAAATATTGCACCTTTTATTTCAATTACACATCCTTCGTGTTATTTTTTTATTGCTTGTTGAAAATTGTCACTTCATGCCACTTTCAAAATTTGTCTTACAACTTCTAGCTTTCCAAGCAACATTGCGGCCAGCGTCTGATCTGGCTTTTCAGAAATGCCCGTGTTGTGGTCACGTGGTTCGTGACATAACTGGTGCTGCGCAGAACGAGCAAAAATTGGTGCGCCGGAGTAGCTCACCCATGTCTTTCCATCATGAGGCGGCTTTAGGTGCATCAAGCTAGATGAGCCATGTCAGCAGATCGGAATGAAACATGTCAAATGACGATTGACGCTTGATGCAATGCCATCGCATACGTAGGTTAAATGCGGACGTAGCTCGACGGAAAATCAAAATAATTTCTTGCTAATTATTTGCCACGTATCTTCGTAGAGAAAACGAGTGTGAGCTGAGCGCCAGCACACACATAAGATAAATTCGCGTCGCAGCTTGGCGGAAACCCTCAGATAATTAATAGGTTCTTAATTACCTTACCCTCCTCATATCACATCTTGTGCGTTGGAATGTTAATTACGTTAGTGTTCTTTAATTTTCCATAATTTGTGCCCAAATACTAAAAACGTCTCATAAACATTCGATGTAGTAGGCAGTTTTCTAAAAATTCAATGTCTAGTAATAATAGACCATTTTTGTAAAACAATAATATTTCTATATTAAATGACCATCCTTCTAAAATATTACTTTTTTCATGAAACCAACAGAGACCGCTTAATACAGGTTTCAGTGTAACTGAAAAAAATATTTTAAGCACAAATAAAAGGTTTCTCGTAAGAGGGCAGGTCAACACCAAAAAACTACCCAGAGTAAAGAGATGAGCAAACGTACGAAAAAGTCTGTGCCCATCACTAGTTACTTTCTCGCATACCACGTCCGTAGTATAGAGAAAATATTGGAATCACACAGCAAAAAAGGCAACTTCTAATACTGAAAAAAGTGGATAAATATGTTATATATGTATACTAGTAAATATCTTCCTCTAACACACTATGAATTCAGAACGTTGTGTTAAATTCAGGACATTGATGACGAAAATTTGGATTACCGCAAACCGTCCCTCCATCCTGTGAAAAATGTAATAAGCCAAAGGCTGGATTGTCTTCAAAATTTATAAAATTGCATTGATCTTCCAGATGCCACGGTCCCTTCAATTTGAAATGGATATTTTGATTTTGGGGCATAACTTTACAAGAAATCACATTGAAATTTTTTAAAGTTTCCAAAAATGGCTCCACATTTTTCTCTCTCTCATAGAGCAAATACCGCTTAAAAATGGGAAAGGTCTGATTTTCATTGAACTCTTTGAATTTTGGGATCGCTGTGTTGGCATCCCCCTTGTATTGCAGTACAGTATTACCTGGGCATTAACGGAGCTTATATGAACGAGAGAGGCACCTATTCTGAGAGGTCCTTGAAATGATTCTGTACAGGCATGTCAAGGACGAGGGTAAGGTCACTAGCTCACAAGAGCTCGCGAGCACTGCGTTCACAGACACTGGCGCGCGATTTAAATGTAAGGGTAAGTCGGTTGCCAGTTATTGCCGTAAATTTATCATAGGAAATACCATGAATGCTTCGGAAATTTTCGATAAATTCCCGACTCTCGAAACGCGGAACGAATGAATGAATGAATGCATAAATGAATAAATGAATGGAGGAATGAATAAATGAATGAATAAATGGAGGAATGAAGAAAGAAAGAAAGAAAGAAAGAAAGAAAGAAAGAAAGAAAGAAAGAAAGAAAGAAAGAAAGAGAATGAAAGAAGAAAGAAGAAAAGAAAGAATAGCAAGGTAGAACAGAAAGAAAGAACGGTAACAGAGAGAAAGTAGGGTAGAGAAGGTAGGACAATGGTAGAAAGTTAGAAATTGATACGAAAGATGAAGGTGAAAGGTGACAGGTAGAAAGGTAGTAACAGTGGTCAGAGAGGGTAGAAGGGAAGGATAAGGAACGTTAGCGAGGTTGTCACCATAGTGCTCAAAAGATGGCGTTCCAAATAAAAAAGGGTTTCTGTTATGTTATTACGATTGGCGTGTTATCGCACAGTCAACATTTGCAGTCGCTAATTATTCAACGTTATTCAGGTAGTAGGGACTTATGAAGACTATGATGGCGAGTTGCCATATTATTATGTCCAGGTAGGGTGATGGTTGGGCGATAGTCTCGAAAAGCTCGGAGGTGAAAAGCGATACAATTTTTGAGATTTATTGAATTAGTAAAGTAAGAAAGATCAGAACATGAAAGAAAGAAAGGAAGATAGAAAGAAAGAAAGAAAAGAAAAGAAAGAAAGAAGAAAGGTAGAAGGTAGAAGGATAGAAAAGGTAGAAAGGTGACGAAGGTAGAAGAGTAGATAAGATAAGAAAGATAAGAAAGTAGAAGGTTAGAGAGGTAGATAAGGTTAGAAAGGAAGAAAGGAAGTTACGGATTATTCCATAGTGTCCACAAATTGGCGCAAAACTCAAAAGGTTTATGTTATGGTAAGCATACGCGGTTTATCGCACATCAACACAGCAAATTAATTTCAAACGGGGGTCCTATTTAAAGTGACTTTTGAGACTATGATTGAGTTGCAT